CCAACTGTGATTAAAAAACCACAGGCAATAGCCACAAAAACAATCCACTAAGAAGATTTAAAGGAATTACACAGGTATACTCTCAATTACCTAGCGAATCTACGCCTAATTGAACCAACCTCTATGTGCCTCTTCCAACCCCGTCTTCACCTCGGAATTGTCTTTACAATGAGCCACTCCAGAATCCACCGAAGCTTCAGGCTCGAATTCTTCAGAATCCACTGAAGAACAACTCTCTCTTTTGTATAAGAAACAAAACCTTTGATGTACTCTCTTTTAAACCATGAGTTGAATACTCAATAAAAACATCAAAGAAAACCTAACAAAATATCTCCAGATATAAACCTTCAGATCCAAAAAGAAGATCTGGAGAAGTTCCCTTAGCTTTGGAAGAAAACCAAGCATTTATAGAAAATCAAAAGTAGTCCTAGATTTGGAAGAAAACCAACTCCTTAAGAAATCTGGATTTTGAAGCTCGCTCGAGCGAAGCTTTTCTCGCTCGAGCGAGGAGCTTAACTTTCGTGATTTCTACTAGTGCCTTGGCTCAAGCGAGCAATCAACTCTTTCAGGTTTTTGTGTGGACGCAATCTGTTGCTCGAGCGAGAACTCCTTGGCTCGAACAAGAAAGCCTTAGCTCGAGCGAGTATTCCTTGGCTCAAGCGAACAAGGGCGAACATGCAATTTTGAATGCAATTTTGCATTTTGCTTCGCCGCGAGCTGACCGGGCAGCTCGACCCCCGTAATAATCAGCGAAGTGGCAATCTTGAAAGTATTGACATCACAAATTTCTCTGCAAGGCACAATTCGGGTTGGATTCGCATCTAAAACTCATATCTTCACTGCAATACAAGAACGAATAAAATTATAACTAAAAGATGCTTTAACAAACGAGATTGCCAAGAATAAAAACCTAACAAATTAAATATGGAGGATAGGTGTCTAGAAGGCAGTAACAATGATTACATGGTCAAAATCTAGTTCTAATTTCCTTGTTTGACCAGTTGTTCTGAGATACCAAAAACAACACATTATTGGATTCAAAGAACATGCACTTTATGGACATATCATCATGCATGAACATCCCATAGATTTATTAAGCCTCCGTTTGGAGAGTGGGTTGACTTTTTAATTTTTTGATTTTTTTAGCTATTTGAGCCTGGGCTCAAAAGTTTAGTTTGGGAAAGGTTTTTTGACTTTTTGACTTTTTTGACTTGTTTTGTGAGAGACGAGTGTAATGATTATGGGTTGGATGTGATGTTTTGTCTGTTGTGGCTCAAATAGCCTATTCTGTCTTTTGTGGCTCAAAGAGCCCAAATGAGCTCTTCCCAAACGACACCTAAAGAAAAATTTATTTGCAAGGATTTGCATAAAAATAAAATACAAATAATTTAAAAATGTATTAGTTGTATTTTAAAAATAATTAGTCAGATTGGTAGATCTTGTAATTTAAAATAATAAACGAATATGGATCTGTTACATCATTTTAGTACAAAATTTTTATACATTATCATGTAGCTTAATATCAACCTTTCATTTTAAAATAAAAAAACAAAACATACTTTTTATTATAGATTTTAATTTAAATTTCACTTTTCTATTTCGATTTGAATAATGTTAACTGTGACTTTTAAATCCAGTTTCTATTTTTTTTTAAAAAAAATTTATGTGTGCTCTTCATATGAGTGACATAATAAGAATCATAGTGAAAAATAAATTATAATTAAATTTAAAGTCTTGGACTAAAATCGGTCAAACTGAAATATTAAGTATTAATAAAAAAATTTGAATCAAATTATAAATGTAAAAAAGTATAATTTATCCTAAAAAAAATAATAATAAAGATAATTTTTATTTGCAACAATAATATTATTATATCATTCATTCTTATAATATTCGTTGAAACAATTATAAATCAGTTGTGTTTTCAAAAAATAATTATATATATAAATTATATTTTAGTAATTAAAATTTATTAATAATTTTTAAAAAAATTAAAATATGCAGTTATTCTCCATATTCTTTTGTATGTATGGATAGAATTTTTCCATAGCATTATTTAGGATAAATTACAAATACACTGTCAAAGTTTATTTAAAATACAAATTGTTCCTTATAGTTTGAAAAATTACAAATACTCCAATATTAGAATTTTTTATTGAATAGAATTAACCAAAAAAAATAAAATTCATAATTATTTTCCTATACAATAATAAAATTATCTAGATTACTAATTGAAACATATTTCTAATATCATTAAAAATTATTAATTGACTTGATAATTTATTAATAAAAATGGTGATTTGTTATGAAGGTCTTAGGAGGTGAAATATAATTTCTAAAATTATAAAAAAAAATTTATATTTTAATCAAATCTCAAAAAGTATATTTGTAATTTATCCCATTATTTAAATGAAAAGAAGTAAGCGTCCACATGAGCAAGTTGCAGAGAGAGGTTCATTGTATTGTGTTTGTGAGAACAAGTGGCTCACATTCCTCTGAACCACGTAGTCAGAATCAGATGTGCCCCAACTGACCTGTGCTGGCTCACATTCCTCTGAACCACCTAGTCAAAATCATCACCCCTTCCCTTGAGACTTTTCAGGTTCATTGAACTTACTTTCCCTTCTCTCCTCTTATAAGCCCCAATGCTATTTGTTCCTCAAAGCCCATCTCCTCTTTCTTATTCTCTCTATCTCACTATCTGAAGCTGAAAGAATGGTGGTGGTTCCTAGTTTCTCTGCAGAGTTGTATCTATCGTTTGCAATCTCAGTGATTGGGCTTCTGTATCTGTTTCTGGTGTTCTTGGAGTCTAGATGGAGCAATGAGTTCCCCCAAGACTCTTGTTTTCCACCCATCATCACTGAAAGATTGCCATCACTGGCTGATTCTTACACACTATCAAGCATGAGAAGCAAAAAGTTCTCTTCTATTTGTCGCTGAACATTGGACTCTCTCTCTCTCTCTCTCTCTCTGTACAAATCAAGATGCATTAGAAACTAGTTCTTGATGCAATTAAGATTGTACAATATGCTTGTAACATTTTGTAATACTAGTCTTCTCATCGATTACATTTTAATTTTCTTTTCTTTCTAACACAACATATGCTTACTGATTTATTAAGAATTTTTTTTATATAATTTATTGAACAGAGACTCCTCAGGCACTCCCTTGGACAGCTTGATAATAGTGTTTTGATTGGTTCTACATTTTTTTTTCTTTCTCATCAATGAACAAATAAAGTGGATATGGGTTCTAGTGATATTTGTTTATCACATCTGCCATTTGCAGATGACACTCCGTTTGTCTGTGTTGCTAAAGAAGGGAAGGCTATAATTTTGTAAAGAATTCTGGTACTTTCTAAGTTTTTCCTAACTCATTATGGATTTTGAACAAGAAATTGTGGATTTTGAATTGTACAATAGGCGGCCAAAGGGTAGCAGGAATTCCTCCAAAACCTTCTTGTCTTCCTCGGTTAAAAGTATCTATTGCCCATCTGAATCTTCTCTTGGACTTCTGCCGATTCTACTAATTTTGCTTGGAGTAATGTCGCCCCCACCCAAAGGGTTCAATGCATCTCATGGTTAGATTGGTGGAATTGCATTTCTGCATTTGTTCCTTCTAGGAAAAAAATTGATGACATCACATCCAATAACTTCTTATCATTTATTCATCTGTATATATGGGACAATGTAATTGCATCTGAAAATTAGAGTTTGCACTCCACATTATTATTGATTGGTAATATTATATCCGCATTGAATTTTTACTGTAATACCATCAATTTTAAGTGATTGTCGTATATGGTTAAAATGGTTAAAATGGTCACCGTGTAATGGTTGTTTTGGATAGTGAGTTGGTTTTTTTGACTTTTTAATTATTTTAGTGGTTAAAAAGTTTTTTTTTGGAAATGGTTTTTTTTAAACTTTTTAAGCTTTTTGTGAGAGAGAATGTAATGATTATGGATTGGATGTAATGTTTTTCTTTATTAAATTAAAAAATTTATTTTATCTTTTTGTAATTAAAATAATTCCAAACCCAACCCATCTTCCCAAACATAATCAAGGTTTTGTTGATTGTGTGACGAAGAGGTGGAGACTATCGTTTGGGAACAGGTTAATTTAGTAACTTTTTGGCTATTTGGCTGAAAAGGTAGGTAAAAAAAACTTGTATGTTTGGAATGACTTTTTAACTAATTACGAAAAGATGTGTAAAAAGTAGAGAGAAAAGAGAATCTTTGACTTTTTGGTATGGATTGTTGGCTTTTTGACTAATTTAGTAACTTTTTAGCTAATTGACTAAAATAGCCTCTTGCCAAACGTGGGGTGTTTGGTGTGGATTAATTTGGCCAATTTATTTTAAACAATTTTTTATTATAAAAACTTTTTTTAATTCAAAAAAGTTAATTTTGACAAGATATTCACTTCTTACTTTTGATTATCAATTTTTGCAGTAAATATGTTAATTTATGATTATACTATTAAAATTTTATTTTTTATTTTATTTTTTCTCCTTAAAAATAGAAAAAGATTGAAGTATAGATTGTGGACTAGATTTTTTTTCTACGGGGAAATGTGAACTAGAAATTAATAATAAAAAACAAAAATTAATTCAATTTCTAACTAACAAAGGTTAATTAAACTTATTGTTAATCAAGACAAAAATGATATTTACATATCAAAATGTTAATTCATAACTTATTTACCAAACACTACTCAACAACTTAAATTTATAATTTAACAATTACACCAAATAGATTAATAACTTCTTACTGAAGTCATAATCTATAATTTGATTTAACAATTGTACCAAACAGCACCATTGTTTAATTGGTAGTTTGATTTTAAATTTAAGATGGTTTGGTTTTAAAAATTAGTTAAATTAGGACAAAGACAAAATTAGAATTATTTTACAATGAAAAGAATTGAATAAAATTAGCCCTTCAAATTCAATCAAAATTATAATCTCATATTTTTAAAATGTTCAAAAAAAGGGAGCCTAAAAAAAGGGCGGGGGCAGGAAAAGAAAACGAACCCAACCAACCAAGCAAGCACCATTTCAAATCTAACAGAACCTTCGGATTACCGGAAAACATTCCCCAAAAAAAGCGTCTCGAATTCAACCATCCTCTCTTTCCCCTCTGTTTGATATCAATTAGGGTTTCCATCTCCCCTCTCCCTTGGTCTTCCCATGGGACACATATGAGATCAAAAATTCCCCCCAAAACAAATCTCCAATCTTCAAACTCAATCCCATGGGGGCCTGTATATCTCTCAACGGCACTCTCCTAAAAAAAACCAAACACAACTCCAAATCCAAACCCCCCCAACCCTTACCCGAAAGCATCTCCGATTCCAAATCCCGAAACCGAACGACTCGCGTCATCTCCGTCCTCAAAGACCCCTCGGCCGAAGACATCTTCAAGAAGTACCGGTTCGGGAACGAGCTGGGGAGAGGGGAGTTCGGGATCACGTACCAGTGCTGTGACATTGTAACGGGGGAGATATTGGCATGTAAGACCATATCCAAGAGTAAATTGAAGACGGAGATAGATGTGGAGGATGTGAGGAGGGAGGTGGAGATAATGAGGCATTTGCCTAAGCATGAGAATATAGTGAGGTATAAGGATGCGTATGAGGATAGAGAGGCGGTGTATTTGGTGATGGAGCTGTGTCAAGGTGGTGAGCTTTTTGATAGGATTGTGGCCAGAGGGCATTATACGGAGAGAGGCGCTGCCACTATCACCAAAACCATTCTTGAGGTCGTCAAGGTTGGTATCTTCATCATCATAATAATAATAATCGGTGTATTTATTTTTAATTTTTTGAATTCAGTTTTTTTTAAATTTGAATTTTTTATTTTTAGTGAATATTTTTAAAATTTTAAGTAACTTTTTTACTTTTAAATGCACATTATTTAGATGTATTTAAATTGTATTTTTGTATTGTTTTATACTTTTGGTATTTAGTGAATTTTTTAAATATTTTTTTTTCAAATATTATATTTTTGAAGTATATTTATGTTAGACGTCTAAAAATTTTAAAAAATTAAGTGAAAATAAAAAAAAAATATGAAAAACAAAAAAGTAAAATTTCTTGAAAAGTTAATTTTGAAAACTGAAATTGATTGAATAATTTTTTCAATTCAATTTTTTAGAAGTTGAATTTTTTGTGTTTTGTGTTTTTTTATTTTTCTTAATTTTTTTAATATTTAAATAATTTTTTAATTTTTTAGATACATTTAAGTACAAATATAATTAAAAATAATAATTTTTGTGAAAATAATTTTTTAAAAATTTACTAAATACCAAAAATGTAAAAAAACATATATTGTGAAAATTTAGTATATTTTTGTATTCTTGTGTATTTATTTATTTTTTAAAATATTTTACTTTTTAGATACATGTAGGTTAGATGAATCTAAAGAGTAAAAAATTTACTAAACACAAAAAATAAAAAAATTCAATTTTCAAAAAAATTAAATTTAAAAAATTAAAACCAAACAAGGTGAATAATGTTATACATAAAATTTAGAAAAATTCTCCAGTGATAACCTTACAAATTTGTATTCAAGTTACATAATTTTATGATAAAATTACATGCGATATCTATTGCACACTGAAGCATCACCTTCTCACCCATTTATGGATTTTGGCCCTATTTGTTTGGGGTTATGGGGCGGGGATTAGGTTTGATAGTGAGGAGGGGATTGAGAATGGAGTGTTTGTTTTGAGAGATAGAGAGGGGATTAGTAATCCCTTAGTATTAGTAAAGAGGAGGAAGGGGGATTGGTAAGGAGGAGGTAGAGATGGTATTAGAAAAATAGTGAGGAGATTAGAAAAAAAAAATTATTTTTTATATATTGGGAATTTTTTTTTAAATATAATGTTTATTTTTTAATATATTTTTTTTGTTTTATTATTTTATATAAAAATAATTTAATAATTGGTCACTATTAATCCCTTCACTATCAATCCCCTCACTAACAATCCCCTCACTATTAATCCTTTCACTATCAATCCCCTCCATTCTATCTCCCAAAACAAACGAGGCCTAAGAGTTGTATTTTGAGTTTGTGAGTTTTGGAATTATGATTTGAGTGTGAAAAATTTGTTTGTGAAAGAGTTTTGAGTTGAGTGGAGAATTTTTGATGTGACATATGATATTTAATACAAAAACTTACAACTCATAATCAAATATACAATTCAAAATTCTATTAAAACTCATAAAAAAAATTTAAAAATTCAGAGAATATTTTTTTTTGAATATATAAAAATTAACATGTGTCTATTGCAAAAATATATATATATATTTGCACTGTTCCGGTCAACCGGCCGGATGACCGGTGGGACATCCGGTTAGCTCAAATTTTCCCGCCTTCAACCAAGTTTTTAAAAGTGTATGTGGAATTAATTTTTGAAACTCGTAAACAAACATCATTTACAAAATAAATCCTAGAACGTTCCAAAGCTGTACCAAATAGAGCCCAAATTTCTCTATTAAATTTTTTTAATGCTAAACAAAAAGTAATGAGGTTCACATTGTTTTTTAAAAAAATAATGGAACTGACATTAATAATTATACTTGAGACTTACAGCTTTATGTCAAGGGTAAGAAATTTGTTTCATAATAGTGTTTTCCTACGAAAGAAAGAAAAAAGAAAAAAAAAATCCGAATTAACTAATGATGTTGAGAGAAAATTCTTGTTATTTTAGGCTACATCCTGATTATTATTCTGAATGAATATTATTGCCTTAATTAATTAATTTTGACTCAATTAATTGGAATTGCAGGTATGCCATGCACATGGAGTGATACATAGAGACTTGAAGCCAGAAAACTTTTTATATGCAGATGCTAGCGAGAATTCTCGATTGAAGGCTATTGATTTTGGCCTCTCCATCTTCTTTGAGCCTGGTATGCTTTTCATTTCATTTTTTTTTCCTCTCCATATTCAATTTAAAGACGGTTACAAAAATAACTTTATTATTTATATTCTCAGCACGAGACTGAATTGTGATTGATGAATATATTAGGTCAGAGATTCGGGGAAATAGTAGGGAGCCCATACTACATGGCACCGGAAGTCCTAAGAAGGAATTATGGACCAGAAGTAGATATATGGAGTGCTGGTGTTATTCTTTACATCTTACTCTGTGGTGTTCCTCCTTTTTGGGCTGGTAAGTAACCTCCTACTCTCTGTTCTCCTTTTTTATTTTCTTCAACACTCTCACTGAACTACTTAGAGCCTGTTTATCAATGGACAACTAGTGCATGTTTTAGTTGATTTGTAACATTGTCAATCTTTTTTTTTTTCTTTTTGGGATGGACAATGAGTTGTCGATTTTGTGTCCTCTAATGGCCTCAATAAATAATATATTTTTATAATATTTAAAGATTTCAATTAGTTCGGGTGGATAATCTTTTAAAATTGTTGGAAAAAAAATTAATAAATAAATAAAAATGATTTTTTTGGATGTTGGGAAGGAATAGCAATTTTGAATGTCACGGTAAAATCATGATTAAAAAAAAAATCACAAACTCTATTAGGTAGATAAAGCTTGTCTTGGTGATATCGTTATATTTACTTGAATACGTAGGTTAGCGGTGAGACTTCTACAAATGAGTAACAAGGAAAGCTATACAAATATATATAATAAAATTATTATAGAAAAAAATCTTAAACAAAAGGATGTGAATGTAATGTGAATTTATCATTTTAAAACATAGAATCTACCAAGATGGCTATTAATTGTGAAAATGTCACTGTCATATTATTTTGGTGACAATTTTTGTATGAATTTTATGTAAAAATAACCTTTTTCTGAGTAACAAATTTCGAGTTTGTGCCCCTTCAATTTTGTCAATGATATCTTACAATATTGGGCCAAAAGAAAAAATGGCCATGCATTGAACAAATTTTTTTTTGTTAATGTGTGTTGTTAAGCACATGTTAAAAGACTTAGAAAGATTATATATTTTTTATTACATGCACGTTTATGTTAAATGTATAATATTTTAAATTTTTTTTGGAACAAGAGATAATACACGTAAAAAAAATCAAGGTAGCGTTTGGTAGAGCTTTCTAAATATGATTTGAGAGTAAGAGTTGTATTTTGAGTTTGTGAGTTTTGGAATTATGATTTGAGTGTGGAAAATTTATTTGGTGAAAGAGTTTTGAATTGAGTGAGGAATTTTTGATGTGACCTATGATATTTGATACAAAAACTTACAACTCATAACCAAATATACAACTCAAAATTCTATTAAAACTCATAAAAAAAATTTAAAAATTCAGAAAATATTTTTTTTTGAATATATAAAAATTAACATGTGTCTATTGCAAATATATATATATATATATATATATTTGCACTGTTCCGGTCAACCGGCTGGTGGGACGTTTGGTTAGTTCAAATTTTCCGGCCTTCAATTGAGTTTTCAAAAGTAAATGTGGAATTAATTTTTGAAACTCGTAAACAAACATCATGTGCAAAATAAATCCTAGAACTAACGTTCCAGAGCTGTACCAAACAGAGCCCAAATTTCTCTATTAAATTTTTTTAATGCTAAACAAAAAGTAATGAGGTTCACATTGTTTTTTAAAAAAATAATGGACCTGACATTAATAATTATACTTAAGACTTATAGCTTTATGTCAAGGGTAAGAAATTTGTTTCATATAGTGTTTTCCTATAAAAGAAAGAAAAAAAAAAAAATCCGAATTAACTAATGATGTTGAGAGAAAATTCTTGTTATTTTAGGCTACATCCTGATTATTATTCTGAATGAATATTGTTGCCTTAATTAATTAATTTTGACTCAATTAATTGGAATTGCAGGTATGCCATGCACATGGAGTGATACATAGAGACTTGAAGCCAGAAAACTTTTTATATGCAGATGCTAGCGAGAATTCTCGATTGAAGGCTATTGATTTTGGCCTCTCCATCTTCTTTGAGCCTGGTATGCTTTTCATTTCATTTTTTTTTCCTCTCCATATTCAATTTAAAGACGGTTACAAAAATAACTTTATTATTTATATTCTCAGCACGAGACTGAATTGTGATTGATGAATATATTAGGTCAGAGATTCGGGGAAATAGTAGGGAGCCCATACTACATGGCACCGGAAGTCCTAAGAAGGAATTATGGACCAGAAGTAGATATATGGAGTGCTGGTGTTATTCTTTACATCTTACTCTGTGGTGTTCCTCCTTTTTGGGCTGGTAAGTAACCTCCTACTCTCTATTCTCCTTTTTTATTTACTTCAACACTCTCACTGAACTACTTAGAGCCTGTTTATCAATGGACAACTAGTGCATGTTTTAGTTGATTTGTAACATTGTCAATCTTTTTTTGTTTCTTTTTGGGATGGACAATGAACAACTAGTGCATTTTTTCATTAATTTGTAACATTGTCAATCTTTTTGTGTTTCTTTTTGGGATGGACAATGGACAACTAGTGCATTTTTTCGCTAATTTGTAACACTGTAAATTGGACAATGGACAACTAGTGCATTTTTTCGCTAATTTGTAACACTGTAAATCTTTTTTGTTTCTTTTTGGGGTGGACAACTAGTGCAGAAACAGAAGAAGGAATAGCGCAGGCAATAGTAAAGTGTGAAATAGACTTTAAGAGGGATCCTTGGCCTAAAGTTTCAGAGGATGCTAAGGAATTGGTGAAGGGTATGCTCGACCCTAACCCTTACAACCGAATGACTGTTGAAGAAGCACTTGGTATGTATCTATCTACACAATTACTTGATTTGATATATCATGTAAAATACTAAATTTTACCATCCTTGTGAAAATAAAAATCCTGTCAGTGAAAGAAAAATGAAAGAATGGTTTATTATAGTTTTGGTGGTCTCTCAATTTATGCAATTTCATGTCAATTTCATCCAAAAACATGGTTGACTCTGTCAACATTCATTATCAAAATTAGGGGCACTTGTTGAAAGGAAAGGAGGGAAAAAAGGAAAGGAGGGAAAAAAGAAAAAGAAAAAAAAAACTTTACAAATTGACAGAATTGATATGTTGAGGACTAAAATGATACTAAACAAATACTTTAGGAACCAAAAGTGTAATAGAAGTTTTTTTTTTTTTTTTTTTTGAAGAAGGATTTTCAAGATGATTATTGCATGTAGTATCATTTTCATAATTACCATATATCCTTCTCAATTAATCATAGACTCTGCCAACATTCATTATCAAAATTACGGGCACTTGTTGAAAGGAAAGGAGGGAAAAAGAAAAAAAAAAAAAAACTTTACAAATTGACAGAATTGATATGTTGAGGACTAAAATGACACTAAACAAATACTTTAGGAACCAAAAGTGTAATAGAAGTTTTTTTTTTTTTTTTTGAAGAAGAAGGATTTTCAAGATGATTATTGCATGTAGTATCATTTTCATAATTACCATATATCCTTCTCAATTAATCATATATTTGAGTGCTAATTAATTAATTGTTCTCTTTTTATTTTATGTAATATGTTTATGTATGTAGAACACCGCTGGATACATAATGCCCATCAGGTCCCCAATGTTCCTTTGGGAGAAAATGTGAGAACAAGAATCAAGCAATTCTCATTGATGAACAAGTTCAAGAGGAAAGTCCTCAGAGTAAGTTTTGATCAATCTTCTATATATATTCCATGATTATATGCATAAATAGTAGACTTTCTTACAAAAATTCAATATCAATTTATATATATAGGTAGTAGCTGACAATTTGCCACAAGAAGAAGTAGCAGGGATAAAACAGATGTTCCATATGATGGACACTGACAAAAATGGAAACTTGACTTTTGAAGAGCTCAAAGATGGCCTCCAGATGATTGGCCAACCCGTTGCTGATCCTGATGTCCGGATGTTAATGGATGCTGTGAGTTTCTGTCTTCAGATTATTGCTTTGTATAATTTCATATGTAGGACTTGACCGATCAATCTAAGAAAAGACTGTTTTGTTTTTGTTGTTGTTGTTGTATTTAAATGGAAAAGGCTGATATTGACGGGAATGGGACGCTGAATTGCGAGGAGTTTGTGACAATGTCGGTTCACCTGAAAAAAATTGGGAGTGGTGATGAGCAGCTGCGTCAAGCTTTCCGCTACTTTGACAAGAATGACAATGGCTACATTGAGATTGAAGAGCTCAAGGAAGGTTTGTTAGAGGACAACCTTGGCCCCAACAATGACCAAGTCATCCAAGACATCATTTTTGATGTTGACTTAGATAAGGTATACATCATTAATATGCTCATATCATCAACTATATATATGGGTGATTTTCGTAGTACTCTCGTCTTCGTTTTTACTCTATTTGTTTATCACCATCTTAGAACATCACCACCACTGTACCTTTTCTTTCTCTAAGGAAACTTGTCTCCTCTGATATCTGGCAGATTTGTATACCACTCTTTTATTTACAAAGCTTCCTTTTTCCGTCTTCGGCTTCTTTTCCCAGATGGGAAAGAAAAATTTTAATGCGAGAAGTTCTTTGGTGATTCATATATTTCATTTTGATTTGATTTGTTGTTTTTGTTGTTGTAGGATGGTCGGGTAAGTTATAAAGAGTTTGAGGCAATGATGACAACCGGTGTGGAGTGGAGGATGGCTTCTCGCCAATACTCTAGAGCAATGCTAAATGCACTCAGCCAAAGAATGTTCAAAGAAAACTCTTTGCATTTGAAAAATTAAAAATAAAAAATAGAAGGAAAAAAATCTTTGTTCATTAAATGTATATGTAATTCAAATTAAGAGCTTCCTCAGCGATTGATCTCTCTTTTTTTATACTCAAAAACAATATATACATAATGATATATGTTGTATGTATATGTTTGACTCGAGCGGTGTAGCTCTCATAATATTTTTGGAATTGGAGAAAAAAGACCGAAAAGAAAGGGTTGAAAACCATGAAATTAGGTTAATTAAGCATCTGTTTTGAGTCTTGACAATGAAATTAAAAGAATTTTTTGAACAAATTTTTGTTCGAACTGTGAATTTTGTGGCTTGAAATGTTGATGTGAATGAAGTGAAGGTTTTCTTGTACTGCAATGTTTACATGTTTAGAGGCATTGTTTGGTATTAGTTCTATTAATGGCTTGGCAAGCCCGCCCACATGCCTCGAGTACAATGCATTACATTCATATATTTAAGCCATACATGTACACATAATTTTTTATCTTAGGCCAAACTATAATTCTCATTCCAAGCAACCCAAAAGGTAAATGTGCTCAAAATCTTAACTCAGCCCTATCCTATGAGTCAAATATATATTTTGAACCCTAAAAATATCATACTGAACTGGGCAGGCCACCGGACCCATACCCAGCCCTAGATCAAGTAGGCTCCAATTTTCGGAACACGTCTAAAGCCATAGCTTTAACATAGACGTGATGCCTCACGAGGCTGTTCATGAAGCTTACTTCACAATCCCTCATGAGGTAAATAAATTTAGAAAGAAATCCATTAGATAACATCCTCCATTGTACATTTCAAGAAGCTATATTTCAACCCTGAGCAAACCACAGGCAAAGAGACAAAATGAGAGTATATTTGCATTTGCCTCTGGAGGCAACAATCATCCGCCGAACATACTAAGATCAGTCCCAATACAAGTCCAAGAACATCGAGCTGTAAATTGATTCATTAAATAGTAGGTAGAAAGTAGAAACTATATACATTGAATTGTATTACGATACTCCCACACACACGCAACAACACAAACATGGCTGCTTGTTCTTCATCTTCTTTTATCATCTCTTTGCTCTTATCCTATCAACAGCATTAGTCTAGTAGCTGACAATTTGCCACAAGAAGAAGTAGCAGGGATAAAACTCTTTTAAGTGCCCTGTTGTTTTTTCATTTCTTGCTTCAAAAGGCTTTCTTCCAAGTGAAAACCACCAGCGCAGGGTGTACACAAGTGCATTTCAGCGGCGCTGGTGGCACATCTCACACGTGGTTGCTGATCTGGCATTCATAAAAGTGCATTGATCGCATGACCAACTTCCTGAATCATCGGCATTTCTACTTGGGCCACCAGACCGGGAAGCTGCCTTTCCTCTTCCACCTTTTCCCTTGCCAGCAGCTGCTACTCCACTTTTCGAGTTTGCTGTCTTACTGCAACCCCCTTGGGAATCCACATCTGATAGACCATTCTCTAATGCTCTAACCAAGTTTTCAAAGTAATTTCGGGTGACACTGTAGCAATTGCAGTGAAGAATAGTTAAACTAGGAAGAATTTTGGGACTTGCAAGCAAAAAAAAGCCACAAGTAGCACAATAATAAAATAGCACTCTCCTCTCATAACAATTGTATGATCTCGTTCTCTCTCTTTTTTTTTTAATGTCATGTCTCTCCTATTGTTTTTTTTTTTTACAGTAGCTTCACTATGTTTCTTAGCTTACAAATGCTCTTACAATGGTGGTCGGATTTATTAAATTCATTACAATTCTATTCTATGCATAGAATGGTGTCTATGAATTTTATTTGCTATTCCTTACTTTTCATACTCTTATTATGCTATTTTTAATTAATTTTATTCGATAAAAAATCAAAACTCAAAAGGCTTATTCCTCAACATCTTGAGTTTACACGTCACCCCATGAGGGATAAAAACGTCTCGCCTTGTGCATTCGTCTTTAACAACTTTTGACTCTGACTAAGATAGGAATAGATAGTGAAATAACAAAGACTTAGACAAGTAAGAGAGAAAGAAAAACTCATTAAGTTATTTCCACACACTTGCTGCAAATGGTGAATCCCTCCTTGCCTACTTACCTATCTGAACAATACTTTCAGTAGAATGACTACTTCCAGACAAAATTACCTTGTCAGTCCAGCCAGTTTTGTGCGGAAATCATTAAAATCATTTGAAGGAGCTTCAGCATTAAGGTAAGTTTGTAGGTCCTTCTCAGCACATTGATGAAGCCTTTCTAAACCAGCCTCGGCCTCACCTGCAGAAATATCAGACATCATTGGACAACACTACTTGCAAACAATTCTCAAAGCTGTATTTAGAGGAGGCTTAAAGGAAACCACAAACCTTGCAAATATTCAAAAAATTGTCTCTTGGCATTTTCATACTCAGGTAAGTAGTATCCGTATGCGTAGGTCCATTTTAACACTCGCCGACATTCAACAATCTGCAGACAGGCACCAGTATCAAACATCTTATTGATGTTTTAATACACCTAAAAAGTATGAAAGACTTGTGCATTCTAATTAATTTCCTTTTGATAGGTAAGTCAAGGAGACTCAAATTTTAGCCTCTTTATCGGGAAGAAAACGACATCCAAACTGTTGGGGGCCCTAGGGGACATATACTACTTAAATTGATTTTGTGATTAGAAAATGTGTCACTTAAATTGTAATTGGACAGCCATTAACAACAACTTTGATGTGCTAAAAATCGCATTCAGGTAAAATACTTTTTAAGACATTTAACTAGTAGCACTATCTGAAAAGCAATATCTGAAAAGCAACAGACTAAGCACTTTATCTTTGGTTTTGGCCCTTCAAGAGCATTATAAGCAGGGAAATGGAGTTGTCCATGGGGTAACCATATTTACCCTTTCATTTCTAAGTCAGGTTTAACAAAAATCATCAGAGATGTTGTAACCACGGATAAAAAAATCTCTCCACATTTTTTTGAGGAAGAAATAAACCATTTGGGTTTACATATAGTTTTCTCAAACAATACTGTCTTGAAATGTAATGTCAGCATTTTGAGTTTCAAAAAAGAAAATTAAGGGGTTGTTTGGGGTGTTCTAAATAAGTGCACTTTTTGTCTTTTTAAACTAAGAAGTTGAGGGGAAAAAAAAAAGATCGATATTTGGGTTAACTTTTTGTCTTTTTAGAAAAAAATATGTAATAAAAAATTGTATAAATAAAGTGTATAGTGGAAGAAAGTGGAGTGGTTGTACAACTGCACTGCTGCCCCAGCATGTCTTACACAGAAAATAATTGCCTCCTTCGGGGCAAAGTGTTTGGACAGTGATGGTCAGTATGTGGGGGCCATCATGGGTCCCATTTTAATAATTTGAACCATTCAATATGTACAACTCGTCGTCTATTATATGCCTGTAAAAAATCACGTTGATCGGATATCGATAGCTATATGATCGGATTAGTTTTTTTTCAACAGTTAACTATCACACCATCTGTTTTGTTTATACAATACTAATTTGATCATATAGTTAACGATATCCGATCAACGTGATTTTTTACAGGCATATATTACTCGACGAGTTCTACATATTGAACGGTTCGGATTATCAAAACGAAACACTTAGTGAGCCCCCAAGGGCCCAACATTACCATCAAACTTTGTAGCTTTACATATGTAATTTTTTTTTTGGGGGCTCAAAATCTGTATAATGGCCTACAAGTCTCACAAGTACGGCTGACAATATCTAAGTGCACTTTTGTATTATAAAAATATAAAATATTTTTTAAATATTTTTTTTTGTGAATAGTAATGACTTTTTTACTTTTTGTGTAACTTTTTAGTTTTTTGAATTATTTTGGACTTGCCAAACCAGCCCTAAAAAGAAGAAACAAAAAATCTATGACATCTAATCTTAGTAGCCTATGATTTGTAGCAGTTGATGTGAATCTAAAATTATGACAAAAGTGTAGGATGCCAAACCCCATATGACCCGAACTGCATGAAGAACTTGAAACAAGGAATCATTCTATACATTCAGGAGTATATAACTTTCCTAAATAAAATTATAAAAAAAAAAACTATTTCGAAGTATCAAAATGGAGGAAGAAAGAAAAAAGAAAAGAGAGATTATTAAGGTAAAAAAAATGAAAATAATAAATTTGTCCGTGGATGATTTGTGAAAATCTTCCCTAGCAGGCCTTCTAGAAAGATGGTTGGGGTGAGCAAGCATTTTGATAACTATTAAATCTACCCTCCAAGCCACATACCTCCAATGATCCCAAATGAGTGGGCTCCTAGGCTTTTCTACCATCCTAGTTGATTCTAATAGTCATTGAAGTGCCTTAAATCATATAGGAGATAACATGTTGGAAAATGAAGAATGAGATATGTGGGGATCATGATCTAGTGGTGTTGTATATTTAAGGAAAAAGTTTAAAGAACTTCTAATTCCCTTTTATCAAAGAAGTCAAGAGGAAGTAACAAACTCTGGTGGATGATCCATATTCCATAATCCACACCACATTACGTTCAAATTAATTATGTACAATACAATTCCTGAATTTAGCTATAGACATAAATGTGGATTGTCTTTATCTTTTGAAGTTGAAAATAGAAATGCTTCAAAAATGTCATGATCATTGTCCCCAAAACTATATATAATAATATAAACCCGAACATAAAGCAAGGAACTTCAGTTTTACCTGTAGCCAGGCCTCTATAATGAATTTAAGCTGTGACTCAGGTTGAGATTGTTTGTCACTAAGCTTCTCAAGCTGGAGAGAGACAGAAACAAAAAACAAATCATGAGATACAATAATTGTAGCATCTA